CATGCTCACAGCTCTTTGATGTCAAGGGCAATGTTTTTACCAGTTTTGTTAATATACAGTAGTGTAACATTCAGTTTACATAAATCAGGAGTGCAGAAAAGGTGGCTATCAGATAATTTCAAACTAACAGTCTATCGATCTAAAAAATGAAAGTTTAATAATTTTATTTACTTTTCTACGATTAATGGCCCAGTGGTATTATAGCGTATTGATATTTCTGTATAGGTTTACACGCAACGTACAGATAAGCTGTCTATGTTAAATGGTGGCTTTTGAACATTTACTATTTATAGGTTATAGTTACCCGCTTAAAAGATTAACGTTATGTTTTATATTTTTTTCTCGAAGAAAACTTTCGCTTTTCTTTTTTTCTGTGTTAGACTATCATATTCAAATTTCAGTATCTTCATTTTTCTTTAAGATTTTCAGCCAATGTTTCTTTAGCATTTTTTGTGTCTTTGATATAAAAAAAACAACAGATTTTATAAAGATTTAATCAATTTATTTATTTATTTGTTATTTTTAGTTTGACTTTTTGATGAATAGGGACAGCTATTCTACTATGTGTCAGCTTTGTCTTCGCACTTTGGTTAAGTTGGTATCTCCAAAACTACTGAAGGGAATGGGTTGAAATGTTATATTCTTGTTCTCTGTGATTATCTAACACAGTGGGCACAGGTCCCATAAGACTTACTTACCTTTTTACAGAGTTATGCCCCTTTTCTTGCAGTCATTTACTGAAAATAGTCAAGCATGCTGTTTTACAGACAGGTCTTGCTTAAAAATTAATCACTTAAATTTTATTTATTTGGATGATTTTGCAATGGATACAAAAGTTACTTAATTACCTGGGGAAATAATTGATTATTCATAATATGAAAAGAGGGAGCTTGGTTTTTAAAGTCGTACCTATGATTTACTAAATATGACTAGTTAAAATTTAAGTTAGAGTTGCTACGAATCAAACTCATATACCTGAGTCAGACTAAGGCCTTTAAGTAAGCTAGCTTAAGATAGTTGCCTCAAATGACTAACATTTAGGTCCAACTGGGATTTGAACCAGCATTGGTGTAAAAGCTAAGTGACCTGACTGTTCAAATAAATAAATCAAAAAAGACGTTCTGCTAAATCAGAAATTTTTTCACAAGTGAAAAATATGTACATATGAAAAACTGCTTGCTTTTAAAACAGTAAAAAAAATTTACTGTTTTTTTTAATGCCCCCCATTTTGAAAAAAAGGGGGTATATTGCTTTGCACTTGTCCCGGTCCGCTCGGTCCCCGTTAGGGTCCCGTAGACCCAAAATGGTTTTTCCCAAAGTGATAACTTTAAAGAAGCCCTTTAGGCCTACGGAACTTCAAACCCTTTGGTTATGCGTTGATTGGTCAATGACCAGTAGATGAGGGCCCCTAAATTGATTTTTGGGGTCAAAAGGGGTCAAAGGGTCAAGGTCGCACAAATTGACCTTGAAAAAGCAAAAAACGGTTTTTTCCGATCAATTAACTAAAGAACCTTTAAGGCCTAGGAAACTTCACAATTGTTATGGTGATTGGTCATGACCAGGTAGATGACCCCTATTGATTTTGGGGTCAAGGCGGTCAAAGGGTCAAGGTCACATTGACCTTGAAAGCAAAAAATGGTTTTTTTCCGATCAATAACTAAAAGAAACCCTTCAAGCCTAGGAACTTCAAACTTGGTATGGTGATTGGTCATTGACAGTAGATGCACCCCTATTGATTTTGAGTCAAGGGGTCAAAAGGTCAAGGTCTCACATTGACCTTGAAAGCAAAAACCAGTTTTTTTCCGATCAATAACTAAAAAGACCTTAAGGCCTAGGAACTTCAACTTTGGTATGAGGATTAGTCCCATGACCAGTAGAATGACCCCCTTATTGATTTTGGCGGTCAAGGGGTCAAAGGTCCAAGGTCACATTGACCTAAAAGCAGAAACGGTTTTTTCCGATCAATAACTTAAAGAACCCCTTAAGGCCTAGGAACTTCAAACTTGGTATGGTGATTGGGTCATGATCAGTAGATGACCCCTATTGAATTTTGGGGGGTCAAGGGGTCCAAAGGTCAAGGTCACATTTGACCCTTGTAGGTAAAAACGGTTTCCGATTCAAAGAATACCCTAAAAAAACCTTTTTTTAAAAAAGGCCCCCCCCCCCCTTAGGAAAACATTAAACTTGGTATTGGTGATTGGGTCAATGATCAGTAGATGACCCCTATTGATTTTGGGGTCAAAGGGTCAAAGGTCAAGGTCACATTTGACCTTTAGGTAAAAACGGGGTTTCTCGATCAATAACTAAAAGAACCTTAAAGGGTCTTTAGGAACTTCAAACTTGGTATGGTGAGGGCCTTTATCAGTAGATTTAAACCCCTATAAGATTTTTGGGGGCAAGGGGTTTAAAAAGGCAAGGGGCACATTTAACCTTTTTTTAATTTAAAAAAAGGTTTTTTTTGAATTTAATAACAAAAAAAAAACCCTTTTGGGCCCAGGAACTTCCAAAAATTTTTGGGATGGGGTTGGTTATTGAAACCCGCAGATGACCCCCCTATTTTATTTTTGGGGGTTTAAGGGGTCCAAAAAGGTTTAAAAAGGTTTTACATTGAACCCTTTTAGGGAAAAAAGGTTTTTTCCCACAATAAAGAAAGAACCCCTTTTGGGGCCCCCAGGGAAATTTTAAAATTGAGATGGGTATTTGGGGGAAAATCAGTAGATGACCCCTATTGGGTTTTTGGGGGTTTGGGGGGGAAAAAGGTAAGGGGCACATTTAAACCCTTTTAGTAAAAAAAGCTTTCGGATCCCAAAACTTAAGAACCCTTATGCCCGGAACTTTAAACCTTTGGGAATTTGGGATTTTGGGCCAAAGGGCCAGCCAAAAATGACCATTGAATTTTTTGGGGGCAAGGGGTTTAAAGGTCCCAAAGGTCCCCAAATTTACCCTTTTAGGGTTTAAAAAAAGGTTTTTTCCCATCAATTTTAAATAAAAAAAAGGGTTAGGCCTAAGGGAAATTCAAAATTTGTGTGATTTTGGTTTTATGGGCCCGCAAAAATTTACCCCTATTTTAAATTTTAGGTTTAAGGGGTCAAAGGTCCCAAAGGGCAATTGACCTTTTAAATAAAAACGGTTTTTTTTTGATCCCAATAACTTTAAGAAACCTTTTGGCTAAAGGGAACCTTTTAAAACTTGGTAAAGGTGGAAATTTTTTCGACCCGCAGGGTTTTTCTCCTATTTTAAATTTTTTTTGGGGTCAAGGGGTTTAAAAGGTTTAAGGTCACCCAAAGACCTTGTAAGTTTTTAAAAACGGGTTTCTATCAATAAAATAAAGAAAGCTTCGGCCTAAAACTTTTAAAAATTGGGGAAAAAGGGGATTGGGCAAAGACCAGCAAAATGACCCCTTTGATTTTTTTTGGGGCCCAAAGGGCAAAAGGGCACATTTTTACCTTTTTTTAAAATTTTTTGAACGGTTTTTTCCCAATTTAATTAAAAAAGAGAAAAGGGTTAGGCCCTTTGGGAAATTCAAAAAATTTCCCTGGTGGGTTTTGGGCCAAAGACCACAGATGAAAACCCCTATTTTATTTTTGGGGTCAAGGGGTTTAAAGGTTTTAAGGGGCACAAATTTACCTTGTTAAAATAAAAAACCCCGGTTTTTTGAAACAATTTTTCTAAAAACGCCCTTTGGCCTTTGGAAAATTCAAAAATTTGTATGATATTGGTGTGACCAGGGAGATACCCCTATTGAGTTTTTGGGGTTCCCAAAAGGGGGGAAAAGGTCAAGGTCAAAGAACCCGTAAATACCTTTTAAAAACCCTTATTAAAATTTTTTGATCATGGGTTCCCCGGGGCGTTATCCCCTTTAAAAACCTTTTTTCACATTTACTAAAATTGGGCTGCCTTTAAGGGGGCATTTTCATGTTTTTTTTCCAAAAAATTTTCTTTTTTTAAAATTTAAATCTCTACAAAAAAAAAAATTTTAAATTCAAAAAACCCATTAAAATGATTAAGTTATATGGGGGTAAATTTGGTTTGAAATCCTTTTAAAAACGTTTTTTTTCCCTTTTAAAACCTAGAACCTTTTTAAACTAAGTTTGATAATAAAAGACTTGGATATTTCTGTATAAATGATATTTTAGTCTAATAAGGTTTTTTAGGGGTTGCAAAATTAATTGTCTGTATTGCCCATGTTGTCCCACAACCAGTACGGACAAGTGAAATTTTTCAAGAATTTACTTTATTAATATCATATGCACAAATGAACAAAATTAATGATTTAGATAAAACATACAAGTAATTGAAAATCAGATTTTTCTGGCCCTGGAAAAAAAAAGGGCCAATATTTCAGTTTGATAATAAAAGACTTGGATATGTTGGTATAAATGATATTTTTAAAGAGTCTCACTCTGTTTCACTCTTTTAAAGTATTTAGGGGTGGCTGAATTGTCCCTTAGCCTGTATAGACAGGTGAATTTTTTTCAAGAAGTTAATATCACACTGGCAATCAAATAAAGCATACAAGTAAGTGAAAATCAGATTCTTCCAGCCCTGGAAAAAAAACGGGTATGTGATGAAAATGGCAAACAGTTGATTTATTTGCTTGGTTTACTTATTGTTGTTTTTTGATATTTGATAATACTGTTACCAAGGCAAGAGCAAATTTGTTTTGCACTCATTATAAAACAACATAGTATTTTTACATTTATCCTTAAATTATTCAAGTTATTTTACATTTATACTTGAATTATTCATATTGTCAATTACTTAAGGGTTTATCTAATGTTTTAACATACTTATTCCATGTATTACTATTTGCTTTTTGTCCTAGTCTAGGATTTTATTCTTAAAGATAATTAACATATGGCTTCTCCCTTTTTCTATAATCGTTTTCAAATCTTTTATCCAAATAACAACCTAAATACACAAAACTACCCTGACACAAGACCAGTGTATATCTGTTTTTTTAAAGAAACAAACCATTTTATTGGTAATCCTTTAACCGTGTATTTAGTAGTAAATTTTACGCTTACAGTTCCCCCCGAGTGTACACCGGATATTTATGTTTAACACTTACCAACGTTAGACTGGTGGTCCTTGGATACCGCGGTTCTCTCAAACCAAATAAATTGATAATAACTTAATCTATGTTAGATTTGATGGGATTTTAATTGGAAATTTTAGGTTTCAAGTGACGGATAAATTATTTTAAACATGGCACAATTACATTCGGCTGCGGAAGCTTTAAATTGGAATGGTAGGTCTTTGATTTGTTTGATTTTTTTTGGTATTCGTTTTTTTAAACCTATTTACATATCGTATTCACAGGTTATTTATGAGATATACATGTATAATATTTCTTTGAGAACTACATGCTGTTATATAAGAAATATTTAATATCATTCAGATTCTAATGTTGTCATATATGCTGTTTCTAAATCAAGTTTATTATTGTAATTTAAGTTTTAAATTTAAACAATTGATAAAAAAAAACAATAAAGACATGTTAAAGCATAGTTGTCAAGCATATTAACGGTGAAAATTGTAACAAAATACGCGTGATTGGTCAATGATTGTCATTTAAACATGGTATTAAGGGTTAGAATAACTTGATTGTTTTATTTCGTGCTTTTAACAAATCGACACATGAGTTATCAACAATAAAGATATCGTGTAATATCATGAAATTATTCATTAGAGATATTAAGATAAGCTTGTAGACGTTGTTATCGGGCATTATTTCATGGACGATATTAATGAAGATTTCAAAAGGATTTGTTCAATCCTTTACAATCTTAGGAGATCAAATAGCCCCCCTTATATCTTCGCCACATCTTTGTTGAAACGGTATTATACCATAAAAAGAAAGTCGTAGAGATTTTTGTAGGATAAATATCTAGTAAGAATTTCAAAAGCAATAGAAATTGATTATTGTTTATGGATTAGTGTCTTTTTACGAATTGTCCATTGGGAGATTTGTTTAACAATAAAGAAGCATTAAATATACATATATTGGTAAACAGACACAATTGGTTGCTTTCTTTATATTTGTTCTCTTTCAATAACCCAAAACAATTTCGTTAACAATACAATACATACTGATTATATTAGTATTAATATTTCAGTACACAATCTGTTTTCTAGAAAGCTTCATTGCCCAGTAAGACTAGTGTCGAAAACAAAGTATTAATTTTGGAACTATTTTCTATTTGGAATTGCTCATAAGGTATTGTAGAAGAGTAAATATGTTGTTTTTTTTCAAATTGTTTCTTTCTATGAATTATTCATGCAACATAATTGTTTACTTTTAATGTATTCAGTAAAATATGGCACTACAAGGCATTTGTATATGTCTGTTTACTGTTTATGTTTATTATGCACATTTTTTTTTTTTAATTTTTATTTGTCCCAAAAAGTACACTGGTACTTTTTATAAAACCAGACAATTTTTCTACATAATCATTATCCTATTGATATAATTTGTATAAAATTGGGTTATCAAAATATTGAGGCGTCATCGTCATCAGCCAAGTTTCAAAGAATTTTTACCCGCAGCCAAATATTTACACTCTCATTTCTCTATGTATATGTTACGCAGATCCTTTTCACCTAATGGGTGGATATTATTATTGATCTATATATTTTTAACAATAAAAGAGTTAATTTTTATTTGGCGATATGTAAAGAAATCACAGACAAATTATACATTGCTTTGAAATAGAGTACAATACCGAATTACACCATTTGTTAGCAATAAAAGCCGTTCCTTTTAACTTGTGTCAAAATGTCTTTTGAAATACCAGACAGAACATTACCGAAAAAAAAGGAATGATATATATTGAGAATGTAACGATCTTATTGTCAAGGGATAATACATTAACATAAATGTTACATTAAGAATTCTGTGGCTGTTTTCTATTCATTATGTATTTAGAAAACTTGTCAAACTTTAATGTTTGATGCACAATTTATTTGACAAAAAGTAATGTTATTTCTTCATGTCACATGTCATTGGTAATCCCTGGTCCCTTACTATCCATGTTATTAAAGTCATGTTATGCTTCAGAAATGCTTTTATTTTCATTTTTCTTAACCTTTTTACTTTTGATGTCCTGTTATAGTTTCCAAAAAGTTACTCCGATTAAGTTACTCCGATTGGCCAATTACCTGAACCATCTTTTGCTTCTGTTCCTTTTTGGCAGTTTCAGTAAAAACATTGTGATGCAGTATTTTGTATGGAAGTCAAAATACTACTTTGTTTACATTTTGATACTTTGATGACAGATGATTTCATATTCAGAGATACTTTCTTCAGGTGATCAGTATCTAAAATGCTCTAAAACTAGTATTTAAGTGTTATAAAACCCATGGTTATCCTTTCTAAATGAAAGCACAGAAAGCGCTGAATTTGTTTTGGTCTCAGAATGTCAGAAAGGTGAAGGTTGTGAGATTATATTGTATTGTGCATATTCAATTCAATGTTTATTTGGCTAAAACAATTTTTAAAATGAAAAAAAAAAAAAATGAGTTGCCTTAACTAGGATTTGAAACCTAGACCTCACACTTCCTAAACTAGCGTGTTACCCCTAAACCATGAAGAAGTTTTAAGAAAACAGCCTGAGGCAAAATGTTAAAGAATTACACAATATTAGAAATGTTCGACCAATCGGGAACTATTTTTTCTTCCCTGAGAAGGTTTGAAAATTTATGCACCTGTCATTTGACAATCTTTATGCAGTGATCTCCCCTTATTTTTTCGGCATTAGTGTACTTATAAAGGGAAGTAACCGCTTCAATCGAAGAGTTCATGACGGACTACTTGCGGATTTTGTAAAATTAATAATCATATCAGTGTCTGAAATTTCGCTACCATCATTTGTTTGATCTGAGGACCCAAACAAAAAAAAATGAAAAAATATTCATTCCTGAGGCATAATGTGCCTTTAACTTAAACTATGAATTTGTTATATATATCTTATAAGCTTCTATTATGTGAGAGATTTTTAATTATTGTTCTTAATCTATATTTCCAGTTGTCTGGACAGATACATAAACTGAGTTTTACAGAATACTTGCCATTGAATGTGATATGCTTTCATAATAATGGTCTTTCTTGGTCTTTCATTTTTGAGACATGTCTGGCAGTTGTCAATTGCTTGTTTGGAAAAATTCACTCTATTTAAATTTATGTACCAATACTTTTATCATTGACTTTGTTGTCTTTTCAACTTCAATTTTCTAAAGTGTCTAAAACTAATAATCGAAGATTTTTTAAGGGGCAGAATCAAAGCAGAGTAAGTGGTACAGAAAAATATTAAGTCTAGAAATGTTAAGATGAAAAAAGTTCCTATCTGATGTATGAATAGCAGTCAGACTATATTACAGCATGTTGAAGTCATAATACAGTAGAACTTCTATGTCTTGTACTTTGATTAGTAATTTTTTTGAAGCAAAGTAAAAAGAAAGTCCCCAGGCCTTAATTTCCGGGGTGGTCTTAAGAAGGATTTCTACTATAAATTATATATATCCTTAAATTTCTGGTGACCTCCTGTGAGATCCCCAATTTTCTTGATAAAACCTCTTTATGTGTCAATTTTTTTTAATGTTTATAAATTTTTATTTGGTCGCTTAAGAGTAATACTTTTGAGTACATTTCGTCATAAATAAGTCAAAGACCTTCAATTATTTTGACACTTAAAATTTCTTAAGCAATGATGATTGCAGAAGGTGTTCTTTACAAAGTAACATGATTTAAAAGACTTGTATGCGTTTCTATGTATACAAATGTATATTCATACTTATAAGTCATTTAAAAATGTTAAATAATGAATAACATTGAGGGTGTTGATCAATGAAAGTATAGAATGTTATCTCACATTTTCATCATAAAAAATCAATACATTTATCCATGATTTTTTTTAAATAAAATTTTAAACTGATCTTAATTTCATGCCTGATTGACTTAACTCTGTTTCAACTGTTCAAATAGAAATTCGTTACTTTTAAAAGTTCTTAATTTATAGTTAAATTTCTTCAAATACCTTTATGTACTTTATGCATGACATATAGTGCCTGATTCTTTTATAAAATTCATAATTAGTCTAAATTTTTTATTAAATATTTGACATTGATATAAAAAAAAATGTTCTATCATGTCTAGTATCAAAAAATACCTTTTCCGTTTTTACGTTAAGCGATGACTATCTAATTAGTTCTTTTGGAATTTTCGATCCCAGTTTTTGTTGAGAAGTGTCTTAATTTATTTAATCTAAACGATGGTTGAAACTATACTAAACGAAAAAACTGTGGTGAAAATGCGTGCTAAGTGACAAACAACAAAAAAATAAAATAAAATAATAAGATATTTTTCGTATATTAATTTGGAAAGGAAAAAGTAGTGAGTATAAATAAATTTTTAACTAGCACCTGTTTGACTATCTGGTTAATTTATTTGATTTTAAAATATTTGGTAGTCATAACACTTCAAATTAATACATAACAGAACCTAGTGGTTTGTAAACTTGAAATCTTTTGATATAGAAAAAATACTTGTTCATCAATATGTAAGAATACAAAATGTTAGCAGACCTTTGATAATTTTGAAGTTTCAAGAAGTCTGAGAGGCTGAAAAATCAAATCTCTTTGTAGATTTATATATCAAATTTATAGGCTCAGAATTTTGTGTGTTGATAGCAAAAATATTTTGAAGTGGCATAGAGAACTATTTTCTTATTTGGACATTTTAATAATACAATGTGATTTTAAATCATGTTCTAAATGCATATGAATCTATGAAACAAAAAATTCCATGAAAAACATAGATGATTTTACAGTAGACGAAAAAATCAGTACGCAGTCATGTATATAAATCTATATTATTAGATCACTTTAATGTTAAAAATAAAACTTGTAGAAGTAATGTTGTTTGCATGGTGAAGTGGTTCTTTTTATGAAGGTACTTCAATGGTTAGATACTGTACACATCTTTTGTCATTTTTCAAAGATCTGTACTGTATCTTTTCCCGTCTCCAGACATTTGCAAAACGATTTCTCCTTGTTCTCAATCATTACTCAATAAAATTGATCAGGATTATTGATCTGCCAGCGATGCATGTGGTGGTTTTTATGACATTAATCAGAATTATTGAAGGGGTATTTGGTAATGTTACATACAGAGTGTAACTATGTAATAAATGGGACTTTAAAACTATGTTTTCAAATGACATTGGCTCCTTGAAATTTGAAAAAAGATTGTAA